GACAAATACTTGTTAAACAAACAAATAATAATGCCAATAATTCATAGGGTTCCAAAAATCGGATCTCTAAATGCCAGTACTCCAAGAACTCTTATCTTCTAATACCTCTGAATCATGTCCCAAATACTGTAGAAATTCTAGGCTTCAACTTCACTTTCTTAATTGGATCTTGCCTCCCAGTTTCCCAGGCAGGGCCAGAAAACAATGTTTTAAATCATCTCTATTTTAAAATTTGTCAATTAAAAAATAATTTTGCCCTTCAGAGGAAAACAAAAACAGAATATTAACTTAGCAAAAATTGCTGAACTTATAAGGCGCTGAAGCCCTAACCAATTCTTTTTGTCGTTATGAGAAAAGAATTTGTACTCAATTAACCTTTTGCAACTTAAAAATTATTTCTGATTTCCTTCCAGGCCTATACCATAAATTTCTAGAATTCAAAGATAAGACTTTAAAAAGTGTTTGTCAGGTCACTTTGCCTCTTTATATCTCATTTCTTATTTTTAAAAAATATTTTATTTATTTATTTGACACAGCTAGCACAAGCAAGGGCAATGTCAGAGGGAGAGGGAGAAGCAGGTTCAATCCCAGGACGCTGGGATCTTGACCTAACAAAAGGCAGACACTTAACCCAACGGAGCCACCCAGGTGCCTCTATATCTCATTTATAAAAGTAAAAATTTAGCAGTTACTTAAAAGTTTAGCTCTCAGTTCATCATCTTATGCTGATTAAATACCATATTCCTATTCAACAAAAATATTTGACTATACCTACAGAAAAGCAAACAAACCCAACACCACCCAAACCAACCCAACCATCCTCCAAAAACCCAAAGTCAAAAATCCAAACCAAAGCAAATTTTAAAAAGCAAAAACCTGGGCATCTGTGTGGCTCAGTTGGTTGAGAGGCTGCCTTTGGCTCAGGTCATGATCCAAGGGTCCTGCGATCAAGCCCCACATTGGGCATCCTGTTTATCAAGGAGTCTGCTTCTCCTTCTCCCTCTGCTCTTCCCTCTTCCCTTCCGTGATCATAAAAGCAAAGCCCTCTGCACTTTGCTTGGATTTTCTGAAAAAGTTTTCAATATCCTCGCAGTTAAATCCACAAATGTTCTCCTCTCCTGTCTTCTGAATGCTGATATTTTCAGTATTTGGAATTAAGTTTTTGTTTAACCCATTACTTCCTGTGTTGGGCTCTGGGTCCCTACTCTATTGCTCTTTAGTTGTATGAGCCCTTGGGTACTTCTTTCTCACTTAATTTCTGTCTCTCTAAAATAGGAACAAATATATGAATCCTATTTTATAAGAATGAAGATTAAAATAAGAGATGCCACATAAGAACTTGTGTTCCATACATGACAGCCAGTTTTATCATGGAGGCAGATCAAGCCCATTTTTTGTGTTTCCTTTTAGCCAAGTGATGTCTACATAGAAGTGCTGGCATAATTAGCCAGGTCAAAGATGAACTACCTTTTGATAATTAAGAATGCTTTTGGAGTTAGTGGAACAGGTGGTACAGATTGAGCCAACTGACTTCCCCGGGTGTCAAGTCACAGAAAGAGATGATGATTCTCTCTGTGTAGGAAAAAAGGTGGGGCAAGGCCTCTCTAGGGCTATTGGTGACAATAAAATAACTTCAAATCTCCTTTATATTTGTCACTACCTTGTGCTTGGCAACAAGACCATATATCACAGCATTAGTAAATTCAGCTCAGTTAGTACAAGCCATGTGGATAATCAAAGGGCTTGTTGACCTATGGGACTCTGGAAGGGGCAGTGAGTCAAAATCTTCAGATTATAAAGGAATTGAAGGAAGGAGGACAAAGTCAGGGATTTCTGGGAAAAGCTCATGGTCACCTTGACACGCCCCTCAGGGGTAGCAATACCTTGTTCCAGAACTGGATCTCAGTTTACATTCTTAGGACTCTGACGAGCAGGACACCAAAGCAACCCAATGGGTATGACCTGCACAATCAAGCCCATAGAATAACATATTAAGCTGGAATACTGTTCACTTCCTGGCGTACAATAAGAGTTGGGTATCTAGGTTCACCAATCAGATCTTCTTTCTGTGAAGACAAACCTGCTGGGAAGCCCAAAACTATTGAGGGGTTTTTGGAGACTTACTTCTACATAATGGGTGTGTGATGGGTGAGCTTGATGAGAGTGAGGGTGGAGATGAGGGTGGGGGGTGGGCTAGCAGATTCTTATCAAAATAAGATAATAGCTCTACTATGACAAGAAAAACTGCTTTACTACAGAGATGGAAAAATTGAGGCTTTCTTTGCCTTGGTGGTCCTACGTCCTCTATAGATGTATTTGTATTAGTTTCCTAGGCCTAGTGTAACAAAATACCACAAGATGGGTGGCCTAAAACAACAGAAATGTGCCGTGTCACAGTTCTGGAAACTACAAGTCCAAAACCAAGGTATCAGTAGGGTCATGCTGACCTCAGCTTTTGCTGTCATGTGGCTGTTTATTTCTTGAGTCTCTCTCCTCTTCCAATAAGGACACCACTCATGTTGGACTAAGAGTCCATTGTACCTGGACCTCATCTTAACTAGTTATATGTGCACCAACCAAGTAAGTTCCAATCTGAAGAGCTAGGGTTTAGGACTTCCATATATCTGTTGGGGGACACACTTCAACTAACAGTATTCTTGGAACTTTTCTTTCTTAAGATTTCATGTGTTGAAGGAGTACATAAGTGGGCAGGGGGGCAAAGAGAAAGGGAGAGAAACAGACTCCCCGTTGAGCAGGGAGCTGGATGCAGGGCTCGATCCCAGGACTCTGAGATCATGACCTGAGCTGAAGGTAGATGCTTAACGGACTGAGCCACCCATGAGCCCCTTGGAACTTTTAAGTTGTGTGAGTTTTTGTAGGAGGAATTCACTGCCCCTTTACCCTTATTTGTTACCCTTTTAAGACCAAGAAAACACCGGGTCTGGTCAGTTTTAGCTGACAAAGTGAACATCTGATGACTAGCTAAATACAGAGCCTGATCCACAATTCCTAAGTAAGAGGAATTGCTAAGATAGAGAATACTACATAACTAGGTGCCTAAAAGATTTTTTCCCCCAAGGGACACATCAACAAACCTGTGAGACAAGTGATAATTTAAAACCTTACAATCTTAACAAGATCTTCAGTTTCAAGGCCATCCTCTCCCTCCCACACTCTTTTTTGTTCCATCCTCTCCCACATCAGTTTTTGCTCTCCAAGTCGGACCATTTTCAGTAAATATGCTAAAGACCCATCATTATTATACTTTTTTTTTTAACAGAACTTCCTTTTTTTAAAAGGTTTTATTTGTTTATACACACACACACACACACACAGAGAGAGAGAGAGAGAGAGAGAGAGAGAGAGAGGCAGAGACACAGGCAGAGGGAGAAGCAGGCTCCACGCAGGGAGCTCGATGTGGGACTCGATCCTGGGTCTCCGGGATCACACCCTCGGCTGAAGGCGGCGCTAAACCACTAAGCCACCGGGGTTGCCCTAATTTTTTAGATATACGAAACTTAGGTATAATTACATACAGTAAGATGAAAATGGCCTGCAAACTGGTACCTTAAAAAGATTAGTAAACTTTACACAATTTGGTCCCCATTTTATTCCAGATTCATTTGTCTTCCTCCCATCAACCATGCCCCTCCTTCCAGAGGCATCCTTTATTTTCAAATTCTCTCAAGTACTGTGTTCTACTCAGGGAGTTTCTCTGCTCTGGAATGGCCTTACTTGCTGGGCACATGCTCCTATTTCAAGTCTCAGTCCCGTCCTTGAAGCTTTCCCCCAACACTCGTGGAGGACCGCAGCTCTTTCGGCACAAAGTGGTTCTTATTTTCCCTGTTCCATGGCTAGTTTTTACCAGTTTGTGAGTCCTTTCCCCAAGACAGAGGGGGGGGGGGGGGGTGTGTGTGCGCGATGCAGCTCGCCTTTCTTTGCATTGCAAGTGAGTAGCCCGATGCACCACACATCGATCGCTAAGTGTTCAGTAGTTAGACTGTCAGTAAGTGACAATAAACATGTGCCTACGGAGGGGGACACTTGACGGGATGAGCACTGGGTGTTATTCTGTATGTTGGTAAATTGAACACCAATAAAAATTAATTTATAAAAATAAAAAAAAAACATGTGCCTAGTACTTGAGAGTCTTCACAGCGTATTCGCATGATCCCATTTTTCTTCCCACGACCACCTGATGAAACAGCGGTAACTGCCGCCCTATCCTCTCCTGCTCGTAGCGCGGCGAGACTCCGAGTTTAATTATCTTGCACCGCGCCAGGCAATAGCAAAACGAGACTAGAACTTGCTCCTCTGGTTCCAAATTCCCGGCTCTTGACGCCACAACACGACCAAGCCCGCGCCAACTTCACAGCAGGACTTGAACTCGGAGAGGCCACGGAGGTCGCACTTCCGGAGATCGGGCTCGGAGGTGCGTCCAACCTCGGCGGGACTTTTGGGCTCCGGCAACACCGAGTGCGCTGGACCTTGGACTACATCTCCCATAGAGCCGTGGGGCGAGCCCTCAGGTGATTGGCTGAAATAGTTCAACCCATATAGCCGCGACGTGCTCGGACTGACCAATCACAGGCCGGAGGGGCGGGACCTCCCGCACAGAGGCTAGACTGAGCGCAGAAACTAACAGCGTCGTAAGGTGTCCCAAAGCCCCGGGGGGCTGAGGTCCTGCTCGCGTGCCCGGGGCGCCGCGTCGTCCTCCTCTTCGGGTCCGGCCCGCGCCTTCCTCGCGAGCCGGCCTCGGGTCGCGCGAGCGTGGCCGCCAGCCCCGCGCCGAGGACAGGCCGGGTAGCGGGGGGAAAGCACGTGCCGTAGCGTGGCGGAGGCCGAGGACGCGCCCGTCCCCGCCGCGCCGCCCCGGGTCCACGGGAGGTGCCCGCGCGGCGTGCGGGGCGCCGAGGGCCCCGGGACCCCCGGTGGCTCCAGCGACCTGGGCCTCGGGGCCGGCTCCGCGTCGCTGGCTGGCGTCGCTTTTGGCCGTGCCCTCCTGTGCAGAGTGCGACTTCCCGGCTTCGCCCCTGGCCTGCGGAGGAGGAGACTCGGCGTCATGTCCCCGGCGCTGCCCGCGCTGACGCCTTCCGGTAACGCTGCCGCCCGCTCTCCGGGGTGCGCTTGTTTGGTGGCTCCCGCCCGGGGCTCCGCATCCCTGGGGCTTTCCCCGCAGGCGGGAGGGCGGAGGAGCGCGGAGGAGCGCGGAGGGGCGCCGCGGTGCCGCTCGATGCCTCCGCACCTGCTCCCCTGCTGCGCTGCTCCGCTGCTCCCCTGCTCCGCTGCTCCCCTGCTCCGCTGCTCCGCTGCTGCGCTGCTCCCCCCGCCCCCCCGCCCCCCCGCCCGCCGGCGGCCGCGAAGCCCCGCGCTCTCCCCGTGCCCGACGCACGCTCCTCACGTCCGAGCTGCTGTGCGGTCCGGGGCAGCACGTTGCAGCGGGGCGCGGTGGGAGATTGCCCTGAGCTAACGTCGTTGCTGAATACGTGTTTGTTGAGCACCTGCTGTGCTCATCCAAAGGGAGTTTCCTTACCTGTTGGGAGACCGATAAGGAACCCAAGAACTATTTAAGACTTAGGCGAACGTTTCCTTTCCACACCAGGGGTAGAGCAGTAGTTCCGCAAAGTGCAGTGTGCAGAGAAACACTGTGAAATGGGCAGAGAGTAGGTCGTGATGGCGAGTAGTCATCTCCGGTGATTCTGAACCTGGTGGCTCTGAGATCAACGCCGAGAAAAAACTGGTCTAGCTCAAGAACTGGCAGCCACTTCAGCTTCATAATGGGCGCTGGGTCTCTGAGGTCATCCCTGGTTGACATCTGGGGTCAGACATAGCCATAAAAACACGGGACGAATGAGGTAGGAGATGTAGAAAGGAGAGAATCAGTCATAAGGACAAAACAGGTGAGCTAGTGACCCTACTGATACTGTAGGGTTCTGATACGGGACTGGTAAAATTGTGCTTGGAACCAGTGGAAATGTGACAGAAACACTTCATCACTGTTGCCATAAAAGAAGAGGTAGTACTTCTTTGAATAATATCTCTGCCTCATGACGTCTTGCCTTCCCATTTAATTAAAAAAGGAAATACACGATTTCCTTTTCATCTAAATATATCAGCAGCACAATGCCTTAGCTAAATGAGGGAAATGCAAAGCAACATACTTCTGTTTTCACTGTGAGAGATACTGGGGAGAATCTGCCCTTTAAGAACCTGATTAGTCAGTGGTAAACTGGACAGAATGTTCTGTGCACAGTGAACCGAATATATAGATAGATATGAAGGTGTTTTGGTTATCGTTGCTCTCCGTGGGCTCTCAGTGACTGCTCACCTTACCAGGGGAAATGAGAACTGTTAAGGTGACCTACTGTTATGAAAAGGTTCTGGAGGGGCAGCGGTGATTAGAAACAGTGAGAGATAACCCCCTACTGGAAAAGCTTGGGGAGTACATAAGGATAACAGTGAACACTTAAAACCAACAAATCTGGGCAGAAGGCCTCTTAGTTTCCCTAAAAGGGAAATCTTAAGCCCTAAAGGGGCTTAAATCAGCATGTGGACGATGTAGAAGCAGTCAGTTTTTAAGGGCCTCCTTTTGGGTGGGGGGAGTTTTGTATTCAATGCATGTAACTCCCATTTTATTATTATCTCCTTTCATGTCACTCGATGGTCACACTTCTCTTGGTCCCACAAGTAGCCTGTTTCCCATATTGCCATGTATTGGTACATTTCCTAGTACTCTTGTCTGTGTAGGTATTTTTAATTGATATAAATCGTATCTTGGTAGTTACCAATTCCTGACTCTTGGACTCAGTATTACATCCTCGTAGTGTAGCAGTGCAGTACTCCCCAGGAGCATCCACCACATTTTACGTGGCCATTTCCCAAGGTTGTCTCCAACTTGTCTCTCTCTCCAGTGTGTCACTCCTATGAACATCCTCTTCCATGTTCTCGATGGATCTGAGATTTTGTTTGGGGAATCTATCCTGGATTGAGATTGCTGGGTTTTCTGCATAGTTAATTTTTTACCAAGTTCTGCTAGGCCTCTCTCCAGAATGGCTCTGTCCAGCAAGCATACTTGGGTTCAGATTTTCATTAGCATTATCCAGTCTCCTAATTTCTGCCCATCTGTTGGGTGTAGACGGGTATCATCTTGTTTTAATTCACATCTGATTGCTAATGAGTTTCAGCATCTCCTCATAGATTTGCTGGGTATTATTTTCCCCTCCCTTGACTATTCGTGTCTTTATAGGAGTTCCTTGTACATTATGACTGTTGGTCCCTTTCAGTTTTAGACATTGCAGAATCTTCCTCCAAGCCATAATCTGTTTATTATGTTTGTCTATGGTAACTTTCTTTTCTTTTTCTTTTTTTTTTTTTTTTGGTAACTTTCATTTCATAAGAATCCTTAGTTTTTATGGAACCAAATTCATCTTTTTTTAATATTACAGGTTGAGCTTTTTGAGTCTATGTCTTTCCCTACTTTAAAATAATGAAGATATTCTATATTTTATTTTTCCTTATTTTATAGGGATATAGTTTAATAGTATGTTATAATATTTAGTGGGACAAACAACCTCTTTCTACTTTATCAATATTAATTTAGGTTTTTCTGGACTTTTAGTCTTCCACATAGAATATGTTTGTCAGATTTCTTTTTTTTTTGTTTTTGTTTTTTGTTTTATTTTGTTTGTCAGATTTCTAATTAAAAATCAGATGTTTTGTTTAGAGTTTAAAAAAAAGCTTTGATCTCTTGCATATACGATGACTCCTTTCACATCATATCAGAATTTGTATATGTGGGGGAGGGATTGTTTTTGGCAAATAGTAAACAGTTCATATGTCTGGACTGAGAAGTGACTACAGCAGGGACCCATGGAAAAGTGCTTAGACTTTTTATGAAAATGGGACGAGAAGAGAGGCGTGCTCTACCGTCAGACCTGCAGTGGGTACGGAAGTGCTCTTCCGTGAGTGCAGAGGGAAGGCAAATAGAGTCCAAGCTGTAAGAGGATTATGAGGTGGAGGAGGGTGAATTTTGGAGCTCCCAACAGAAGACTTCTTTGGACAGGATTGTGGAATCTCCTACAGATGGAGAAGGATTTGGAGCTAAAACAAAGGTTTAGATAGCAGATGTGAGCTGTGTTGAAGGTAGCCAAGAAAAAGTGAACCAAGGAGGAGGCTCAATGTTAGAAATTCTCAGGGACTCCAGTTAGCACAATTTTGTGGCTTTCCAGTATTCTTAGAAACTTTCTCCACACATCGTTTTTCCCCCTGATTTTGAAAGTTGGATTTTCACTTTCTTTAAAGCAAGTGTGAAGAAAAGCCTGCAGGATGAGATTGAAGCCATTCTGCGGGAGAGGATTATGGTACTGGATGGAGGGATGGGGACCATGATCCAGCGGCACAAGCTGAGTGAAGAAGACTTCCGAGGTCACGAATTTCAAGATCATGCCAGGTCACTGAAAGGCAACAATGACATTTTAAGTATAACTCAACCCAATGTCATTTACCAAATCCATAAGGTACAGTACACACCACGTTTTCTGTTCTTATCCATTATTCTGTGAGCTACTTCCTGTACCAAGAGCTTTGGAGGATACAGAAGAAAGAAATGGGGATCCCTGGGTGGCACAGCGGTTTGGCGCCTGCCTTTGGCCCAGGGCCCGATCCTGGAGACCCGGGATCGAATCCCACGTCGGGCTCCTGGTGCATGGAGCCTGCTTCTCCCTCTGCCTGTGTCTCTGCCTCTCTCTCTGTCTCTCTGTGACTGTCGTAAATAAATAAAAATTAAAAAAAAATTGAAAGAAATGATCCATTCACAAAGAAGGTGTTGGACATCAAATACAGGTCCTGCACTGTGATGAGCATTTGGGATAAGGAGATGAGAAACATAGTTTTTGTGCTTTCAAGGCAGTTCAACTCCAGTGGAAGACCGTAAAAATCTTGGACAAATTGAGATTGTCACATATGCTACTTTAAGTCACCACAGCAGCCCTTACAAAGGTGGTTGCTATTCATTCTTATTTTGTAGATTTGGCAGTTCAGGATCACGGAGGTTAAGGAACGTCCCTGATGTTAGGGAGGATTCCTGACTTGAAATTCCATGCTCTTTCATTCCATTTTTCTGTCTGCAATAAAAAATTAGTCAACATAAAGAAATCAGGAACAAGTAACTGGGGGCAGTAGATTTTTAAAATTTAGAAATAGGGATCCCTGGGTGGCTCAGTGGTTTAGCGCCGCCTTCAGCCCAGGGCGTGATCCTGGAGACCTGGGATGGAGTCCCACGTCGGGCTTCCTGCATAGAGCCTGCTTCTCCCTCTGCCTGTGTCTCTGCCTCTCTCTCTCTCTCTCTCTCTCTCTCTCTCTCACTCACTCTCTCTGTGTCTCTCATGAATAAATAAATAAAATCTTAAAAAAAATGGAAATAAACACAAAATGGAATTGTTTGATAGGTTGTCATCAGAATTTCATAGAATTACAACCAGAAGAGATATTAAGTGATTGAATCTATTTTCCTGGTTTGAATTCAGTTGGAAGGACAAAGCATATTTACCAGTGAAGAGAGAAAGTGTTATTTTCTTGAGAAGGGCATTGTTATAGGTGTTTCAGGTTCTTTTATTTTATTTTATTTTATTTATTTATAAATTCGTAAGAGACACAGAGACATAGGCAGAGGGAGAAGTAGGCTCCCTGTGGGACTGCAGTACTCAATCCTAGGATCCCAGGATCATGACCTGAGCCAAAGCTCAACCACTGAGCCACCCAGGTAAATCACCTGAACAAATCATTTTGTGATTAACTGATCCATCAAGAATGGAAAGGATCATTCTGTTGTGTGGTCAAGACTTTGTTCTAGGTAAGATGCAGAATGGCATTCATTCAAAGAAAAGCAAAGAATGCCTTGCCTTTGCTTATAATGGGAATTCTAGGTACTAGAAGATTTAAAATTGGTCCTCGAAAAGGTGTGATTCTGCAGGAAGAATGCTAAGTTTTTCTGGTAGGCCTTGAGAATATGTAATTAAATCCTATTATAAAATCCTAGTCTCTTGTAGATTGGGAACGTCATCATGGGTATGAATTGCTTGGTATGGTTACAAATACACTTCATATAATGCAGCTGATGAAATCACGTGAACTATCATGCCCTGTGGTTTCATCATTATTATTCATGTAGATTATAACTAGATTAGAAGCTTCCGCAGGGCAGGAATTTATGCCTGTTTTTCACGACCAAATCCCTACTGCCTAGAACATTATCTCCCACACAGGAAGTGCTCAATAAATATTTGTTAAAGGAAAGAATCCTTACTCTTTGTATTAGGTAGGCATCTAGATGGAACAACAGGGTTCCCATGATAGGTCCATGAAGCAAAAATGGCTGTAAATACAGTAAAGTCTGCCTGGGTGTCCCATTTCTAGAGAACTGGAGAACATGTTGTGTTCATGGATTAAGAAAGGAAACAGAATGGTTTTCTTTTTTTTCACACATGACATAAATCAGATTCCCTGATGTTTAATTTTAATGGACTGTCCAAGTTATACTTGTAATGTAATGACAGTAAGCTGCTTTGGTTGTAATGTAGGTGCCTGACTTTAAGCTTTTGGTTGCCAAGACATTCATTTCAAAGACATCCATCTCCTATTAAACATGACACCTACTAGCTGAACAACTATATAGCAGGCTAATCCCACCCATGAAGTTCTGCTTTTGGATGCTCTGGATGACCCAGACAACTGACTGTTTGAGTGGCCCTATTTTTTTTCTTTCCACACCCTGACTCCCACTCTTATGTTTTAAATTTGGCAATAAAGAGTGAAACTGTCAAACCCTAGGTGTCCCATCCTTGTACCTCAGAGAAGGCAGAAGCCTGTGTCTGTGGTCACCCCATCCCCCCATCTGCCTCTTGCCCCTTCAAGTGTGGCCCTGGGCCTATTCCCTTCAGGACTTCTGCGTAGTACACTTTTTTCTCCCCAAAGTTCCCTATGATTGTTGCTGAAATGCATTTTGCAATTATCAGAACCACAACTTGGACTCTGCCCAGGGAAACGTTTGTGGGAGCTGGCCTCAAGGAGGACAGGTGAGTGCCTTGGGCATTCTAGTGGCATCACTGTCACAAAACTGAATTCAAAACCTCTGTTAGCCTCTAGAAATGCTGTCCTTAATATCCTCCTCTAATCCTGACAGAAGTGAGGAGCAGAGAAATTCAGTAGCGTGCCTCACATCACACATTTTTTTAAATTAGCAAGAGTAGGATTAGAATTGAGGGTTGTCCTGCCTAGGGTTTAGGCGTGGGATATTGAGCCAGGAAAAAAGGCATAGAGAAAGGATGGAGAGCTAGAAGAAACACCTTTTAAACTATATATTGTGGAAAATTTCAAATCTACACAAAATTGGAGAAAATTGAATTTAAATTTTTTTATCTAATTGTAAAGAGAATATGTGTTTAGTGCTTAAAAAAGAAGTAACTAGGGGATCCCTGGGTGGCGCAGCGGTTTGGCGCCTGCCTTTGGCCCAGGGCGCGATCCTGGAGACCCGGGATCGAATCCCACATCGGGCTCCCGGTGCATGGAGCCTGCTTCTCCCTCTGCTTGTGTTTCTGCCTCTCTCTCTTTCTCTCTGTGACTATCATAAATAAATAAATAAAAATTTAAAAAAAAAAAAAAAGAAGTAACTAGATACTATAGAAAGCCATAAAAGGGAAAATCAAAACCAGGACATAACAATAACAAGACTTAACTACTATTCACATTGTTTAACTTATATTTTAATCTAGTTTTTATACTGGGATTTTAAAAATATCTGTAGAAGACAACTGTTTGTGTACATGTATGTTTTAAACTTGTTGGTCTCATATTTTACATTTCAATCAATTTTGGTTTCTACTCAACAATGCTTTTGGAGATCTTTCCATGTCAGTATATGTAGATATACACAATGTTTTTAGCTGTCACAAAGCATGTTACAAAATGGTTATATTTTCACTTCTCCAGTTTTTTCTAATTGGTGGATATTCAGAATGTTTGTCACTTATAAATATGTGTAAATCTTGGTTTTCATTTCCCAGATATTCTATAAACAGTGTTTATCACTTTGGGAGGGGTTGGGTTAATTTACTATTGGACGATCAAGGGAATTGAGAGATTCCAGGGTGTTCATCAGATTAAGGTTGAGAAGGTGTTGTCCAAAAGGCAAAAGGAGGAAGACAGGTTTCAAACAGGGAGGACCGGAAGGCACCAAGATCCTCAGGGTTCTAGGAGGAGTGCGGATCTGGCTCAGATGGACCAGCAGATTGGGACCGAGACAATTATGGGCAGACCTGGGCTCTCGGAGACAGCGCTGTTGCCAGCGGGGATCAAATTGTGCTGAGACTGGAAAGTGCCATCCTAGGCCAGAACTTGTGTTACTTGTGTCATTGTACAGCCACCCGGTGGAGTTGGGTTCTAGTACTTTCCAGAGAGGAAAGCGAAACTCAGAGTTTAAGGAACTTGATTCCATTCATACGGCTTAGCATATGAACTTCATCTGAATTCAAGCTCTGCGTTTGTTTATTTACACCACATTCCTTTCTGTGAAACACTTATCTGTTTCTGCGTCTCTGGTCCCTAGTTGCAGTGCCTGTGCTCAGTGAATGGTCACAAGGTGTGTGTGGTGGTGGTGGTGGCGGTGGTGGTGGTGAGCCGACGTGTCTGTTGTGGAGAGACAAGTTCTAAAACTCCAGAGCAAATGATATAACTATCTCGTTGCAGGATTACTTGCTGGCCGGGGCAGATATCATTGAAACAAATACTTTTAGTAGCACTAATGTTGCCCAAGCTGACTATGGCCTCGAACACTTGGTAAGAGTTCCATTTTGCCATATCTCTAAGATGTTCCTGAGCATTTGCTGCATTGACGGTTGCTAGTGAGAAAACCTCCAGAAGTTGCAGAGTCAGGCTAATGCTTAGCTGTCTGTTTGTGGTCAGCCTGGAAAAAACATTTGAATCTCTCTTCTGGTTATGAATACAGCAGACCATTCATTTTCTAACTGGTTTCTTTTGCGGGCAAGTGACCAAGTGAAAATGAGCTTGTTGTGCAGCAGCTGCTGATAAAGGTATAACAATTGGCTCTGTGCACACCATTTTTATGTACTGGGTGGCAGATTTGTTTTTTGTTTTTTTTTAACTGTGACAAAACACATGTAATATAAAATTGACATCTTAGCCATTTTTAAGCATACATACAGTTCAGTGGTATTAAGTACATTCATGTTGCTCTGCAACCATCACCACCTTCCATCTGCAGAACTCTCATCATCTTGTAAAACTGAATCTCTATACCCATTACATTAAATAATCACTCTCCATCCTCTTCTCAGCCCCTAGGCCCCAGAAACCACCATCATTACTTGCTTTTATTATGAATTTGACTCCTCTGGGTACTCCAGTGTGGGATTTTTCCAGACATGCCTCTGTTTCAACACAACTCTGTCTTCTCTCATGATGTTGGGACTTTGTGGGAATCTCATGTCTTTTGGGTTATCAAGGAAAATGATTAGTTTTATGTAATTTAGGGCAGGAGTTGGCAAACTTTTCTTTGAAGGGCCAAGTAAGTAAATATTTTAGGCTTTGTTGGCTTATACAGCATCTCCTCAACTTTCTCACTGTAGTGCAAAAGCAGCAATAGACAATATGTAAACGAAGGAGCTTGATTGTGTTCCAGTAAAACATTATTTATAAAACTGGACCAGACTAGATTTGCCCTGGGAGCTGTAGAATTTGCCAACTCCTATTTTAGGATATTCTGGTTTCTTAATTACTAAATAATGAAAATCCACAGTGCATAGGATCTGGGAAGGGGTCCTGAGGACTGCAAGTCTAGAACCTTCCAACCTGCTATGGGAAAGGGTTTCAGGAGGCTTAGGAACCTCTTTAAATTATAAGCATTACTCTATGTGTGCTTACTTTTTATTTCCTAGTGAGACCTTTACTGAATTCTAAAGAGGTTGATAATCCTCTCCAAAAAGTTCAGAACCACTGAGTACAATCACTATACAGCGAAGGAAATCAGGGCTCAGAGAAGTTGCTAAGGGAACTGCCCAAGCAGGCTCTGAGAAGATCTGGTCCTTGAACTCAGGTCTCTTGCCTCTGAAGCTTTTACTTTTTCGAACTAACAGAGTATTTAATGGCATCAGCTTATTCTTTGACCTACCAGATGTCCAAGAGATTGCCCATTTTTACCAGTTAGCTCATAGCTTAAGAGAAGAAGCTAAAAGCAATTCTCCAGGACTCTTGGCTTTCCTGCTGCCTCCATACCTGTGGCAGCTGATAGACCTTCTCGGCTAAGATTTACTGAGTAAAACTGGCTTTTATAAGGTCATGAATTCCTTATTTATTATGTGGAGGAAAAAAAGTTCTATCTAATGTTTGTGGTTGATATGTTAGGCCTACCAGATGAACAAGTGCTCTGCAGGAGTGGCCAGAAAAGCAGCCGAGGAGGTATCTTTCCAGACGGGTAAGGGACTTTTTCTTCCTCTTTTTTATTTTACAAAAATAATTCTTTTGAGATTCTCAGCTATAATGTGCTGTTCTTATTGCACTTTTTCCTTTTGTGACAAGTGGCCCACTAACAACATGGCAGACACTGATTTGTACTTGTGTGTAGGTTACTCCTTTGCCGTTTCATAATCAGAAATCCACATCTCTCTGAATTGATTCTGTCTCTCTGGGCCTTAGGCTCAGGGTTTACTCTGCATTTTCTTTAGTGGGGGTTTTAGCTTAACTTTGTAACTGTGGCTACTTTGTATATTTATAGTTATAGCTTCTTCCTATATTTGCAGCTAACGTGATTTTCCTCCTTTTTGGAAGCACAGTATTAGGTGACTAAGTTGACAGCTGTCTGTTCTGGTTGTTGTGATTAACATTAAGATATTTGATTTTATCTCTTTAAAGCTACCCTCATCCTTGAGATAGGCTTACTTAGGTAAAGAGACACTGCCTTTAGAGCATTTTCCACTTCCTATCATTAATGTCCTTGAAGGCTCTGTGCCGCGCAGGAGCATGGTGTTAAGATTCAGTCTTGCTGGGACGTGAAAAGTAGCTCCCTGAAATAACTAGCCTCCTGGCTGACTGCCATAACATGACTTGGGCACCAGCTGGTGGGGAGGCTTTGAGGGAGGGAAAGGAATAGAGGAAATGTATAGAGCCCCTCAAGATTTGGAAATGTAAAATTATTGCCAACAGGAGAAAATATAAAGCAAAGTGGCTAAGTTGGACACAGCATACTAACAAAGACTGAAGCCATTCCTGGGAACTCTGCTTCTGAGAGAAAGTTTTTAAATCCATGAATGTGCGTGGACTGCTACCCCAACAGAGCCACAGGTCAGAGAATATTAAACCTGCCAAAGCAGGGAAAGATGAGGACATTTTTCTGAAACGCACATTATTTAGCTTTGGGGAAGGTCACCTGCTCAAAGGCTGGGTTATCAACTAGTCAGTAGTCTTCTCCAGTTAAATTGAAAAGTGTTAAGTAACCCAGGTTACTGAGTAGTTACCATCTACCGGAAGTGATGGGCGGTGTTCCCCCTGGCTTTGGTTATGACATGTAAATGAACCTAACTATTGAGGCTCTCTTAGAAGCACCTAGACTCTAGCCTGGAGGAAAGGTTATTAAATAATTATGAAAAGAGCTCTTAAAGTAAGATTTGGTCTGTCTCATACTTTAATTTTAGGCTTTATAATTGCTGATCTTGATTTAGTATCCCCCACCCTTACCCCGCCCAGCGAAGGGTGTGCAGCACAGTACTGGCAAGCATCGCAAGTTGTGTTAGAATCTGTATTAAGTTCAGGATTTCTTAAGAATAAGGGGAGATAATTTGTCCAAACATGGCTGTAGAGATAGAAAAAGGTTAGTTTCTGAAATGCTTTGACGCCAGAGAGTTGAGAATTTGTTGTCTTTTGGATTGGCTTGGCAATAATATGTACAATTCCCTGTATTTCATAATTTTCCCAGTGGGGCCCAGGATAGCTCCCATCATCACAGACACATTTGCAGTCAAATCTGGTCATTGTCTCACTGAGTGTGATAGACTGTAACTAGCCTCTTGTTGGTCCAGGATGGGTCAAGTTTTGTTAAATTAAGAACGTAATTTGTGCTTTTGTATTTCAGTTGTGGATCAAGGACTATAGACCTATGTTCTAGGGAAAAATCTTAGAGCCTTTGTTGAGTCACAACAAAAAGGTCAAGCTATTTAGAGATTCTTTACACTTGTTTTTCTTTTCCCAAAGGAATTAAGAGATTTGTGGCAGGAGCGCTGGGTCCAACTAATAAGACACTGTCTGTGTCCCCGTCGGTGGAAAAACCAGATTATAGGAATATTAGTGAGTATCATATATGATCTTTGACCTTCTGCAAGTGCCTCTGTTTCAGTGATCTTAAAATCTGTAAAATGGGATCACTAAAAGGGTTACTGTGACTTAATGGGCATAAAGGGCTTATAACAGTCCCTAGAATATAGTAAACATCTAAATCAAAAGTCAGATCTTCTTGCTGTTGTTGTTATTATTATTATTTTGAGTTTGCTTTCAAATGTGCTTGGTTATTGTGATAGTGTTTCTTTATCAGCTGAGGAAATAAAACTAATAAAGAGAAAGCTTTAAACTGAGAAGTTGAGCAAATTTGGACACCAGGCCTTGGTCTATTATGGAATAACCCACTAGGTTTCCATTTTATGGCAGAAAGTGTCCAAACTACATAAACATACTAGCATTGTTGACATTATAAACTAGTGTATGGAAACATACTCATATTGAGATTTTATTGAAAATCTAGGTCAGTTTCTTAAGCATCAAGACAATGAAAAAAAAGAATTAGACTTAGTTGGATGATACTGATACTTTTTATGGTGAAGAATTTTGTGTAGATGAAAGGTTCAGGCAAGTATGGTTTGTGGTGCTACTGTACTTCTTCACCAGGGGATTACTCATATGGGGCTTATACATGGTCGATGGCCTCTGGTCTAGGCATGACCTTGGGGGCAAACTTTTTCTTTCTCCTGTGCTATATATAGCAAGGATAAAGGTACTACTTAGATTTCTCTACTGAATATCTAAGCTTTTTTCTTTTTTTATTGGAAGGAAAATGGGAACAGGGTTGACCTCTCAAATGGAAATGGACAACTCAAGATGTTTCTAACAAAATTTTTATCCAGGAACAATTGAACACTTTGGTTTCAGACTGAAATTGCTCCTCAGTCAGGTTTCCTCTTGGGCAGGGATGAAGTCCACAGGACTGAAGCCTTTTAACACAGTGAGTGTGAGGGCATGTGACTAGACCCCCTCCCCCCCATATTTCCAAGTCAGGGTGACATGTTTCTCTATGTGTTCCTCACACACATCCCTTAACTGACTGATTAAAACCATCCTGGAAGGAATGACCTGCTTTAAAGATGTGGAAAGTAAGGGACAGTGTTCAAGAAACCACGTACCTTCTTGCTCACTCACTCATTCTTGGCTTATCCATGGGAAGCAGAGGTTGTGTGGTAAGTGTTTAGGGAGAAATAGTGTTTAGTCTATAGGTTTAATTAATATCACTGCCCTGTTTTTTTAATTTAGTTTCTCACAAAAGGTGATATTGTTTGTGAATTAAGTATTATAAACCAACAATAGTAGTGAGTTGACAGGTACCAAGCCTAAACACAGCATGTCCTGGTCATTGAGAGGATTTTGATGACTGATGTCCTGGATGTGATTTATTTTTTGCAGCATTCGATGAGCTTGTTGAAGCATACAAAGAGCAGGCCAAAGGGCTCCTGGATGGTGGAGTTGATATCTTACTCGTTGAAACTATTTTTGATACTGCCAATGCCAAGGTGAGTTGAGGGAGATGAAGGGGACAGCTGGGTGGGGGCTGTGATGAGTCCCCTGGTGGGATGAGATGAACATCACAGCTGTTGTCAGAGTTAAATGAAAGTCTTCTGTTCAATTCTGTTCTTGAGGATTTCTAGTTGAGGCCATCTAGTTGATGAGAAAAACTTCAGAAGATTCCCTTTAACTTTCAAAAGCATTTTTTAAATTATGAAAGTACATGTCCACATGTACACATACAGCTATTAGGTGCACAAATGCAGATGTAGTAAATATATATGTATGGTTCTAAATTTAAAAGGTATATAAATGTGTGGAGTATCCTTCCTTCTGTTCCTTGGTTATCCAGGTCTTTCCTGGTATGGCTACTGTTATTGGCATGGGGTTCCTGATAGAGATGCCAGACAGGTAGAGGGAAGTGTGATACAACATTCTTTTGATTACTGAGGAATGGGTTTCCCCCATGATGCATCTGGAATTTATTTTGGAGTGAGGAATGTGGTAGAGATCTAACTAGGTACTCTTTTTGCCTAAAGTTTACCTAGTTTTCTTAACACTATTAAATATCCTAGTATTTCCCAGTGGTAAGAACCATGTGGAATGTCACCCATACCATCCTAAATTCAGAAGTGCATCTGGGTAGAATTTATTCCAGTAATCTGTCAGATATCACACCCCCTTCCTGCTATTTTCTGTAGCATTGTGATTAAAATACATCTGAGTAGCTGGTAGGCTTGCATTAACCTCTTTCCCCCTCTATTTTTCCCCCAGAATTTTCCTGGTTATTCTTCTTTGTTTATTGTCCATAAGATCTTTAGGATCAACTTGGCTAGTTCTAAAAAAAAAAAGGGAAAAAAGGAAAAGAAATTCTCATATTGTTGATTTAATAACTTTCTATGCAAAAGAACCCCACCATCACACTAAAGGTATACACTAAGGGTAGGTTGCACTCTGACTTCAGAAAAATGTGAAAATTCCTCTTGGAATCAAGAAATATAGTGATAAAAAGAAGATGTTCCCTAGAACTTAATACATCATGGGCGTGCACAGAGTAGCTTGGCATTTGTACCTTTGCAGACCATTCTGAGCTCACACTGTTGTTTGTAATGACACACACCGTTCGCTCTGTACCGACTGTGTATATATGAGGATGTGGAAGATGGAGGCATTCTCACTTAATTTTGACTGGGAAAAGGAAGAAAGAGCATAGCTCTTGAGCTCCTCTTCGGAGGAAATTATTAGTTTGTAAACTAATATTAGTTTGTAAACCCTCATATTGTTTTGTTTCAGTATGTACAGTGTTCTCCTTAAGAAAGGGGTGTTGGGATTGTACCTTACAGGGAGGACATGCCTCTTCCCAGAGAATGTGATGTCTATCTTATCTAGAGAGTTTTGGGAAGAGGCGGCATTCTGATTAGCCAGTTAGACTGGCCAGGGATACAGTCTCTCAAAAATAAAGCTGTCTTCTTTTTACCTCTGACAGGCAGCCTTGTTTGCACTCCAAACACTTTTTGAAGAGGAGTATTCCCCCAGGCCTATCTTTGTAAGTTCGAGAATTTGCATGCTGAATTTTGTCTTTTATTAATACTGTCATTTTGAGGGTAGGGTCTTCATTTTCCCAACATAGAACTATCTTTAGTAATGTATTAGGAACCACCCATTTCGGTTTCCTCTCCCCAGTTCACCAGCTGTAGACCAGTGGCAGGCTCAGCTCTGGAAATGCTAAGAAAATGAACCCAGAAATGTTTGGCGAAAGGCAGGCCATTCCAAAGAAGCCCGGATGAATTGGTCTCCTGAAGTGAAAGTCTTAGGGACTCCCACTGATAAGAGCCCCGGGAGAGGGGGCTTGCATGCTGACCAAAGTACCCAGAAATGACAACACCAACCTGCAAGGAGGCCAATCCACCGGAGAGTCCCAGGATTTCTTGTTGGGAAAAGAATAGAATCAAATCAAGGGGTGTTAGATGAACCAGAGGTGTGACAGCCAGGACAGCCTGAGGTCCCTGGGAAAGCCTTCTGCAGTGGCACTGGATGTGTGAATTCTAAATCTTTGTTGGTCACTGCTTTTGCCTCAGTGACTTTCCCTGACTTCCTGACTTCCCTGGCTTATCGACTCCTCCCCACAATCACTTTGCCTGTGTCCTTTTTGACTGTGATGAAAAGTGCTTCCTTGGGGAGAGCTCTACACTTTTCTTCCTTGTAAAACAACAAAGTTAGCATACTCATTTTATTTCATGTTTGTGACCATGTTCTTAACTTGAGTCTATCATGGACTGTGTTTACTTTGTTAATTCAGATTTCGGGGACAATTATTGATAAAAGTGGGCGAACTCTTTCTGGACAGACAGGAGAGGCATTTGTCATCAGTGTGTCTCATGCAAACCCACTCTGGTAAGTGATCATTCTTTCCTTGACTCCATTCCTTTTAGAGGGATCTTCCCTGATACCTACAGAACTCTCCCTGGGAGGGTATCATTCCTGCATATTTCTGCTGAACTGCCTGAATGGGACGCTGGCTCTCTGGGCAGTACATTCAGACTTTCCTTAAGGACATCAGAAGACCACTGCCTGAAGGGGTCAATTTGAAGGACTGGGAGATTGCTCTTACCCCTGGGATTGGGCACATGGTTGTCTGTTTATTTGTAAATGTGCCCCTCACAATGTAAGGCTATGCTCGGCTCAGTTGGAATGCTATAAAACTGCTGCCAGTGCTTACGTTCTTAGGGCAGTACTTTGCAAGGTTTTTTCACTTCCTGCTTATGGGGCAAACAGAAGCAGTCCAGCTTGGGGTAAGGTGGGAATTCTAAAGGTCAGATTTTTTATCTTGAAATTTAACCTGGTTTTGGGGTGCTGGGGTGGCCCAGTCAGTTAAGCGTCTGACCCTTGATTTTGGCTCAAGTCATGAGCCAAAGTCATGGAGCATCGGGCTCCATGCTCAACACAGAGTCTGCTTGAGATTCTCCTTCCCTTCCTGCTTGTGCTTCCTCTCTCTCTCTCTAAAATAAATAAATCTTAAAAAAAAATTAACCTGGCTTTTGCATTCTATTTTAAAATATCTTCCATTTATCTTATCAAAAATGTTTCACATTACATACCATGAGTGAAATGGAACCTCCAACAGTATGTACTATTTTCACCTTTGCCTTTTCCATACATTTACTGATCTTCCTGCCTGGAAGCTGTGCCTGCCCCTGCCCAACACACACACACACACACACACACACACACACACACACACACACACACAGTCATACTCTTGCTGGCTCCTTGTTAGCATTTAAGAATCATCTCCAGGGTCCTTTCTAGGGAACCTGCCCTTTCTGACTAGCGCAGGTTGATGTTCTCACTCTGTTTGAGTATAATTTTTGCCACAAAAATAATAGTAATGGACATTTATTGAGAGCTTGCTATTTTAAGTGCTTTATGTGAGTTATTTCTTTTAATTCTAGCAACACCTTGAGGTGGGCACTGCTGTTCATGTCCTCATTTTGATGAAAAGGGAATAGAGACACTCGGGTTGTCACTTGCCCAACATCAAGTCAGTCAGTAGTGAATCTGGTGATAGGAGCACGCTTGTAGCCACGGTGCCATACCACATTTTATCAATTATTTGATGTTTTTTTTTTCATGTTTTAATGTTTCTGGTTTCATGACATGTCTTACAGTTGAGTTAATGTGAATTTTTTTTTTTAAATTGCTGTTAATTTAGAGTGTGTTGTCATCTGGTTGATTGGGGCTGATAATTAAGAAAGTAACTATTGAACTTGCCTGTGATTGACTCCTTTACAGCCTATGAGCTTTTTCAGAGCAATGTCTTAATCATTTGTTGCTCTAGTGCTTAATCAAGTCCTTGGCATGTAGTGTGGCTGCAGTAAATGTTTAACAGAAAAACTAAAGATAGGAAAGTGTAGGGGTCTCTGATGACAAACAATATCTAATTTACTCTTGAATTTTTTTTGTCTTTCCTCATATACTCTGAGCATTCCTCCTTTCATTCTCTGGCTCTCTTCCCCACCCCCTTTACTGAGTCTTAATTCATGATCTGATTGGAACCCCTAGATATGTAGATGAACATGTACATTGCCCCAACTGTCATGTTCTCAGAAGACATCCTGAGAGGATGTTCTCCTGGCCCTGCCTCACTTGCAGGAATCCACAGATGGTATTTTTATGGAGTTTCCAAAATTTATATTTGTTCCTTAAGCAAACATGAAGTTAATTTTGACTTTTGACCCACTCAGTGGTTAATTTTTTTTTAAAAGATTTTATTTATTAATGATATACATAGAAAGAGAGAGAGGGGGCAGAGACACAGGTGGAAGGAGAAGCAGGCTCCATGCTGGGAGCCCGACGTGGGACTCGATCCCAGGGCTCCAGGATCACGCCCTGGGCCAAAGGCAGGCACCAAACCGCTGAGCCACCCAGGGATTTCCTCAGCGGTTAATTTTTTAAAAATTGTTATCCTATAAGTCTGTCTATGTCTTCAACATTCATCTGTACCCCTTTCACAGAGAGAATATATCTGGTCTCTAATTTGTTGTGAATCTTACAGACCGAAGGGGCAGGTAGGCAGATAGACGGCAGCCCAGGAATTGGAGAATTGTATCAGGTCCTATTTATATTGTTCCAGGTTTGGAACTCTGAGTAGTGCCTACTGGTTTTCTTTCTAGTTCAGTACTGAGGGTCAATCTCAGTAGAGAGGAGTCCTGTTAACAAATATATGATGATTTTTAATAAATTTGTGTATATATGTATATACACATATATACACATGTATATACGCACACATATATAAACAGATAGTATGTAACAAGGTGACTGTGTGAGAAACTGTTGCTCATTAATTCCTGATTATTGCAAACTGTACATATGTTAACAAAATAATGAGTAACAATGAGCCTTTATATAATTTTTATTCATTGAGCATTAATTGAAATCCTACTCTGTGCCCTGGAATACAGGCAAATGTGAAACAGTCCACACTAGGAGAAATACATAAGTGAATTCAGATGTAAAATGTCAACTGGTATATAAAAATATGAACAAAAATCTGGCAGTACATAGGATCCATCCTATCCACCTATAATGGTGTCCTTGCGGCAAGGACGGCTTTGTAGAGAAGGTAACATTTGAGCTGGTTTTTGAAGCATGAGTCAGAATTTGCTAGGCAAAGGCAGATGGGTATATCAGAACGAGCAGATAGGATAAGGACTGTATTCTCCTGAAACATTTTCACATATCTGATTTCACTTTCATTTGACCCTGATTGCCAGTTGGGCATAGTTTTCTCATGCAGCAAATGAGGAACTGAAGCCACCTAACTATTGAACCAGATGAGTTAGGATTGGAATGAAGTTTAGCAAAAGTCTAGGATCCTTTCTACTGATAATGTGATGATAAAAGAATTTCAGTTTATTATCTGGTGTTGAGTGTGGATGACAGTAGCACAAGATAAACAGAGTAAAAGCATTCCAAGTGGAGCTGGAAACTGGTGCAACAGAACAGGTTTATTTGAGGCTTGTAACTTAGTCATGACTTAAAATATTTTATTAGTTTCAGATATATAACACAGTGGTTTGACATTTGTATACATTGCAAAATGATTGCTACAATAAATCTAGTTATCTTCTGTCACCATACAAAGTTAACACAGTATTACTGACTATATTCCTCATGTTGTACATTACATCCCAGTGACTTAATCTTTTGTAACTGGAAGTATGTACTTCTTGATTTGTACCCATTTCACCCTCAAACCCCCTCCCCTCTGGCAACTATCAGTCTGTTCTCTAGACCTGTGAATCTGGGTTTTGTTTTTTTTAAGATGTTATTTATTTATCTGAAAGAGCACAGACAGGGGGTTGGGGAGAGGGAGAAGCAGACTCCTTGTGAAGCAGGGAGCCTGACGTGGGGCTCAATCCCAGAGATCATGACCCTGAGATCATGACCTGAGCTGAAGGCAGATGCCTTACTGGCTGATCCAACAGATGCCCTATTTGTTTTGTTTTTTTTAAAGTTCTACATGTAAGTCAAATTATGTGATATTTGTCTTTCTGTGTCTAACTTATTTCACTTGGCATAATGCCCTGATTGGCTAATAAGTAATGCTGCAGTGAACATAGGGATACATGTGGGTTTTTGTTTTTTTTTGAATTAGTGTTTTTATTTTCTTTGGATAGATGCCCTGTACTGGAACTGTTGGATCATATAATATTTGTATCTTTAAGTTTTTGAGGAACCTTCATAATGTTTCCTGTAGTGTGGCTGCACCAGTATGCCATCCCACCAACAGTGCACAAAGGCTCTCTTTTCTCCACATCCTCGCCAACACTTGTTTCTTGCCATTTTGATACCGGCCAATCTGACAGGTGTCAGATGATCTCATTGTGGGTTTGATTTGGATTTCCCCGATGATGAGCAATGTTAAGCTTCTTTTCATGTGTCTGTTGGTTGAATATCTTCTTTGGAAGAATATCTATTCAGCTCTCTGTCTACTTTTTTTTTCTGTCCACTTTTTAATTGGATTTTTTGGTTATTGAGTTATATGATTTCTTTAAATATTTTAGATATTAGCCCCTTATCAGATAGATGATTTGCATGCCACCTGTGTGCCGGGGCCATGCTTATCTTCTCTGTATCATTCCAGTTTTTGTACATGTGCTCCTGAAGCGAGCACCAGAGGTATGATTTGTAGACATCTCCCATTCCATAGGTTGCCTTTTAGTTTTATTGATTGTTTTCTTTACTGTGCAGAACTAAGTTTGATGTAGTCTCAGTTGTTTATTTTCATTTTTGTTTCCCTTGTCTTTGGAATTAGATCCAAAAAACCATTGCTAAGTTTGATATTAAGGAGCTTGCTGCCTATGTTTTCTTTTGGGAGTTTTATGATCTGGTCTTTAATCCATTTTGAGTTTAGTTTGGTGTATGGTGTTAAGAAAATGGTCCAGTTTCATTCTTTTGCATGTAGCTATCTGGTTTTCCCAACACCATTTATTGGAGAGACTGTCCTTTCCCCAGTGCATATTCTTGCCTCTTTTGTTGTAAATTACTTGACATGGGTTTATTTTTGGGCTCTCTTTTCTTCCATTGATCTTTGTGTCCATTTTTATGCCAATACTGTTTACAATGGCTTTGTAGTATGATTTGAAATCTGGGCATGTGATATCTTCAGGTTTCTTTTTCTTTCTCATGATTGTTTTGGCTTTGAGGGTCTTTTGTGGTTCTATATAAATTTTAGGATTATTTGTTCTAGTTCTATGAAAAATGCAATGGAATTTTAATGTGATTGCACCGTAGATTGTTATAGAATCTGTAGATTGCTTTGGGTACTACGGACATTTTAATCGTATTCTTCTATTCCACGAGCATGGATATCTTTCCATTTCTTTGTGTCATCTTCAGTTTTTTCATCGGTGTCTTACTGTTTTCAGTATATAGGTTTTTCCACCCTACTGGTTAAATTTATTCTAGGTGTTTTATTCTTTTTGATGCAATTGTATGGGATTGTTTTCTTAATTCTTCCTTCTAATAGTTTGCTATTTAGTGTATAGAAATGCAACAAATTTTTTTTTGGTGACAAGAATTGTGTGTCCTGCTTTACTGAATTCATTTATCAGTTCTAGCAGTTTTTTAGTGGAGTCTTTAGGGTTTTCTATATATAGAATTATATATGCAAATAGTGAATTTTACTTCTTTCCAATAGAATGTCCTTTATTTCTTTTTAGTTGCTATAGCTAAGACTTGTAACTAAGTCTTATAGCTAAGGCTGATACCGTGTTGAATAAAAGTGGAGAGAGTGAGCATCCTTGTCTTTTCCTGATCTTAGAAGAAAGGCTTTAGCTTTTCACCATTGACTATGCCATTACTTGTAAGTTTGCCATATAATGTTGAGGTATGTTGCCTCTATACTCTCTTTGTTGAGAGTTTTTTATCAGAAGTGGATGTTGAATTTCGGCAGATGCTTTTTCTCCATCTTTTGAGATGATCCTATGATTTTTATGTTTCATTGTATTCACGTGGTATATAACATTGGCTGACTTGTCCAAGGATGTTGGACCATCCTTGCATCCCTGGAATAAATCCCACTTGATCATGGTGTATGATCCTTTCAATGTATTGTTGAATTTGGTCTGCTAATATTTTGTTGGGGATTTTTGCATCTGTGTTCATCAGAGATATTGGCCTGCAATTTTCTTTTTTGAAGAGACGAGTGTCTTTGTCTGGTCTTGGTATCAGGATAATACTGACTTCTAGTGGAGATTTGGAAGCATTTATTCCTCTGCAGTTTTTTTTTTAATTTCTTTTTTTTTAATAAATTAATTTTTATTGGTGTTCAATTTACCAACATACAGAATAACACCCAGTGCTCATCCCGTCAAGTGTCCCCCTCCGTGCCCGTCACCCATTCACCCCCACCCCCCGCCCTCCTCCCCTTCCACCACCCCTAGTTCATTTCCCAGAGTTAGAGTCTTTATGTTCTGTGTCCCTTTCTGATATCTCCCACACATTTCTTCTCCCTTCCCTTATATTCCCCTTCACTATTATTCATATTCCCCAAATGAGTGAGAACATACACTGTTTGTCTTTCTCCGATTGACTTACTTCATTCAGCATAATACCCTCCAGTTCCATCCACGTTGAAGCAAATGGTGGGTATTTGTCGTTTCTAATGGCTGAGTAATATTCCATTGTATACATAAACCACATCTTCTTTATCCATTCATCTTTTGATGGACACTGAGGCTCCTTCCACAGTTTGGCTATTGTGGACATGGCTGCTAGAAACATCGGGGTGCAGGTGTCCCGGCGTTTCATTGCATCTGTATCTTTGGGGTAAATCCCTAACAGTGCAATTGCTGGGTCATAGGGCAGGTCTATTTTTAACTCTTTGAGGAACCTCCACACAGTTTTCCAGAGTGGCTGCACCAGTTCACATTCCCACCAACAGTGTAAGAGGGTTCCCTTTTCTCCGCATCCTCTCCAACATTTGTTGTTTCCTGCCTTGTTAATTTTCCCCATTCTCACTGGTGTGAGGTGGTATCTCATTGTGGTTTTGATTTGTATTTCCCTGATGGCAAGTGATGCAGAGCATTTTCTCATGTGCATGTTGGCCATGTCTATGTCTTCCTCTGTGAGATTTCTCTTCATGTCTTTTGCCCATTTCATGATTGGATTGTTTGTTTCTTTGCTGTTGAGTTTAATAAGTTCTTTATAGATTTTGGAAACTAGCCCTTTATCTGATATGTTATTTGCAAATATCTTCTCCCATTCTGTAGGTTGTCTTTGAGTTTTGTTGACTGTATCCTTTGCTGTGCAAAAGCTTCTTATCTTGATGAAGTCCCAATAGTTCATTTTTGCTTTTGTTTCTTTTGCTTTCGTGGATGTATCTTGCAAGAAGTTACTGTGGCCAAGTTCAAAAAGGGATGTTGCCTGTGTTCTCCTCTAGGATTTTGATAGATTCTTGTCTCATATTTAGATCTTTCATCCATTTTGAGTTTATCTTTGTGTCTGGTGCAAGAGAGTGGTCTAGGTTCATTCTTCTGCATGTGGATGTCCAGTTTTCCCAGCATCATTTATTGAAGAGACTGTCTTTCTTCCAGTGGATAGTCTTTCCTCCTTTATCTAATATTAGTTGACCATAAAGTTCAGGGTCCACTTCTGGGTTCTCTATTCTGTTCCATTGATCTATGTGTCTGTTTTTGTGCCAGTACCACACTGTCTTGATAACCACAGCTTTGTAGTACAACCTGAAATCTGGCATTGTGATGCCCCCAGCTATGGTTTTCGTTTTTAAAATTCCCCTGGTTATTCGGGGTCTTTTCTGATTCCACACAAATCTTAAAATACTTTTTTCTAACTCTCTGAAGAAAGTCCATGGTATTTTGATAGGGATTGCATTAAATGTGTAAATTGCCCTGGGTAACATTGACATTTTCACAATATTAATTCTGCCAATCCATGAGCATGGAATATTTTTCCATCTCTTTGTGTCTTCCTCAATTTCTTTCAGAAGTGTTCTATAGTTTTTAGGGTATAGATCCTTTACCTCTTTGGTTAGGTTTATTCTTAGGTATCTTATGCTTTTGGGTGCAATTGTAAATTGGATTGACTCCTTAATTTCTCTTACTTCAGTCTCATTGTTAGTGTATAGAAATGCCACCGATTTCTGGGCATTGATTTTGTACCCTCTCTGCAGTTTTTTGAAATAGTTTTGGAAGGATAGGTATTAAATTTTCTTAGAATGTTTTGGTAGAATTCCGAGTGAACCCTTCTGGTCCCTGACTTCTGTTTTTTGAGAAGTTTTTGATTACTGCTTCAGTCTTCTTACTAGTAATCAGTCTATTGAGATTTTCTTTTTCTTTGTGATTCAGTCTTGGAAGGTTGTAAGTTTCTGGGGATTTATCCATTTCTTGTAGGTTCAGTTTGTTTGCATATAATTATTTATAATAGTCTCATGATTTTTTATATTCCTGTGGTGTCAGTTGTGACCTCTCCACTTTCATTTCTGATTTTATTTATTTGAGCCATCTCCTTTATTGTTAGTGAGTTTAGTTAAAGGTTTGTCAATTTTATCTTTTCAGAGAACCAGCTCTTAGTTTCATTGATCTTTTCTATTTGTTTTTTAAGCTCATTTATTTATTTTTTTAAATATTTATTTAGGTGAGAGAGAGAGCGAGCACGCGTGGACAAGTGGGGGAGGGGCAAAGGGAGAGGGAGTGAGTTAGAATCTCAAGCAGCTCTGACTCCCTGCTGAACACAGAGCCTGACTCCTGACTCGGGGCTCGATCTCAGGACCCTGACAGATCATGACCTGAGCCGAAATCAATAGTTGGCTGCTTGCTTACCCTACCCAGCCACCTAGGTCCCTCGTCTATTCCATTTATTTTTACTCTGAACTTTATTATTCCCTTCCTTCTGCTGACTTTGGGCTTTGTATACTCTAATTTTGGTTCCTCTGATGTAAAGTTAAATTGTTCATTGGAGATTTCTCTTATTTCTTGAGATTGGCCTCTATTACTCTGAATTTTCCTCTTAGAAAGTCACTTTTGCTGCTGCCCATAGATTTTGGTGTGTTGTATTTCTGTTTTCATTTGTCTCTAGGTATTTTTAAATTTCTCCTTTGATTTCTTCTGTGACTCAGTTCAGTAACCTGCTTAATCTCCACCTATTTATTGTTTTTCCAGTTTTCTTCCTGTAATTGATCTTATCTGGTTTTATACCATTGTGGTTGGAAAAGATCCTTGATATGATTTCAGTCTTCTTTAATTTTCTTGAGACTTGTTATGTGGCCTACCTACCATGTGTTGTAGGGAATGTTCTGTGTCCACTTGAGAACAAGAGTGTGTTCTGATGCTTTTGGGTGAAATGTTCTATAGGTATCAGTTACACTCATTGGTCTAATATGTCGTATTAAGGCCAATGTGTCCTTATTGATTTTCTCTCTGGATGATCACCATTGATGGAAGTGGTGTGTTAAAGTCCTTTATTGTATTGCTGTCACTTTCTCCCTTTGGCTCTGTTAATAATTGCTTTATATATTTTTTTGCTCCAATGTTGGATGCATGTATATTTATTATTGAGTTTTAAGAATTTTTACTTTTAGTTATTATTTCTTTATTAAATATATGATTTACAAATATTTTCTCCCAATCTGTGGTTGTTTTCTCATGCTTTTAA